CCTCGGCTCGAGGTTTCACTGGACCAAGTTCCTGCGACGCGCTGGCGCCGACTGCTGCAGTGCGTCTTTGCTGCTGCGGAGCCACACAAGATGAGTGTCAATACGATGCTGGATATTGTGACTTGCATGAGTTTGTCTAGCACGACCTAAGAACAAACACCGTGTGCATCCGTGTGCTTGGATTTCCATGGATTTCCTTCATGGATTCTGATGCTGCACATTGGGCGAGTAAGTAAGGCGGGAGTATGAGTTCCTGTGTTTGTGGTCAGTGCACAGGCAGTGTTGTTAGTTGTTGCTCAAATTGTCAAAGGATCAAGTTCTTTATTACTGATACACAACCGTTTGCCAGAAATTGATATTATAGGGCAGTGAGGTCATGAAAGTCTTCAGTTCTAGCCTTCAAGTCTCGTTTTCGCAAAGAACGGCATTCGATTCACGACCCCATCCAATTGATGTTGGGCATTGTGTCATAGCGTGTTTCTCGCTCGGCGGACTCTGCGGATTTTGTTCTGTTTGAGGGAGAGAAGGAGTCATAACACGTGTCAATATATACACGACTATAGATTTAGAATGATTTAGATATGACGCTATATAATGCTATATATAAATGTATATTCATTGTTTGAGTTCAGGGTAAACTCTCTGATTATACAATATTAATATTATATATACAAAAACAGTGATTATAACAGAGATCATTATGCGTAGACGCTGCCTTCCGCACCTCCTTTCTAAAGATGCCCCTGAAAAGCTTTGGCATGTCGATTGCACTCATCAACTAAGCTGCGAACCAACAATTGTCACGCACAAGGGCCAAATCGACCAGTTGAATCGAGGTTTCCTTAGATTGATTGTCCACAGGTTCCAACGTAATGCCATCGAACGCAGGTTTGCTGCGTTTGATGTAAACCGTCGGTCTCCCCAACGACGGTCGTCCTAGGTGTGGAAGGCTATGTCTATGTGCCCACGACGACCAAGGCAGCGGTGAATGTGGAGGAGATGCAAACCATCGGTCACTGGGTGCGGTTGTCCGGGAGAGGATGAGACCCGCGCTTCTCTTACGCCCACACGATCCCTAAGAGAACTGCTTTGGAACATGGTGAACCTATCGAGTAACCTATCCACTCCGTTCTTTCCGGCTCCATCGGTCCACACCTGTAGACATCTCCACCCTACGGTCGTGACGTGTTTCATGACGTGCTGCGCGGTGACCTCCGCGCGCGCCCTTCCGCCGCGGAGAGCAAGGTATGATCGTCGGCTTTGGCATCGGCTCCTTGCCAAAACGAGCTCCGCTTCGGCGGAGGGGTCCGTTCCCGGAGGTGCCAGCGAACACTCGTGGCTCCAGTGAGGTTGAAGTTGGGGCGAAAGAAGCGGTTGAGGGTGAGGCTCTTTTTGAGTCAAGATTCAGAGCATTTAGCGATGACTGATGGAATACTTCATCGTTTGTTGGTGTGCTTGACAGGCCTGGCGTTCCGTTTTCTTCGGCTTTCAATCTCATTCCAACTGCCACTGGTTTTGGAATTGGGGGCGGTTTGCCTCACGCAACCCGCGCCTGCATCTAGCAGCACCTGCCACCGTTGAGTGGGTGGACCCACCATCCATCAGGCCTTTGCTTTGTCCTCTCCCTGGGAATTGGTTGCACCTTGGGCAGGCCGGGTGCAGCTGGGGGTCCTTGATTTCACATTTACGGATGGATCAATGTATGAAGAACTATCAAACCATGTCAAGTGCTTATGTGTGTAAGTTTAACACATGCAGTATACGGCATGTCCAGGCAAAAGGATGCAAAAGAAACCTACTTGCGATCGCCTCCATCCTAATAGCGAGCCATGGCCTCCCACCTAATAGAAAAAAAAGAGAGGGAACCTCATCCAAGGATGTGTTGAATCGATGCTCTGAGTTCGGGAGAGTTGCGGAGATCAGCGCGAACTCGCTTTCAGGTGTCAGACGGGTAGCCGCGACTCGTCCGACCGATGCGGGGGAGGTTCTGTACAGTTCTGGCCACAGGTGAGCGCATTCTGCATGGTTGCTGGTCTTGATGCTCAGGAGAATGAGACGTTCTCAGTGGAACTGAGGGTGTCAAGAAGCATGGTTAGGACTGTTTCAGGTTTGTGCTGGGCTGCTTTGGAATCGCAAATGGCTGGGGTGCGTGCGACGGGGTGCTTTGTCTTTGCAAAGGGGGAATGCCATCGGAGGGTCCTCATTCTGCATTGCAACTGCGCATGGCAAGTGTCAAAAGAGAATGAACGAACAAGCTCAAAATTGGCGTTTAATCTGTTGAGAAAGGTGTGGCGAAGTATTCGTATAGAAGTGGTACTGAAATTGGGGCCCCAAACAGCCTCATTGTATGTTTATTAGATATGGTATGCTGGGTCTCAACTCAAAACCCGCTGGTCACGTCGAGTCGCTGGCCCGATGGCAGACCCGCTCGACCCGCTGGTGGATGAGTGAGCCCAACTTCCGGATCCTGAAACGTCCGGACGTACCCCAGCGGCTTTGTAAAGGCGCCATGAACACCCCAGCGGCTCTACAGGCGTGCTTTTCGGGGCTCAGGTCCAAAACCAACAGTTATCATATCATTCTGACTGAGTCCCAGGACCCGGTGAACACACACCTCCAGTTATGTCCTCCGGTCGACTGTCCTACAAACCGTCTCGGCACGGTTGGTAGGCACTTCATGTACGTGCGGGTGAAGAGGAAGGCCATGGAACGCCTCAAGCGGGCGTCCACTGAAAAGACCGCCGCGTCCGATTCTTTTGTGGATGACACCAATGAGGACAACGATCCAGAGGCTGGAAGATTCAACTTTTGGAGCTGAGAACACAGGTTGTTTGATGCCAGAAGATTCATCATTTCAAGCTTGATTTGCTTGATGATTGTGCAAACCCAACTACCACTGGGATAGTGGTCATCAGACTGGATAGTGGTCGCCCCGCCCAGGAGGGCTTTGACGTTCACATGGAGGTCCCGGCCGACACCATGCACACCAAAACAGAGGAAACCGAGAAATCAACGCATGTTTAGTGTGCCGCCCGTGTCGCACGTGCGCTCGGATCGGGCGTATCTGGTGGTGGGTGGCCTTGGTTTGGTCAGAGCTGCCGTCAGGCATAGTCGAACGAAAGTGTCCTTCCTGGGGGTCTTTCTTTACACCAGTTGCACTGCCAGTTGTGTTGTACATGTCTTTTTGGCGTGTTTTTGTTTGTTCAGGGCGGCCTTCTCCACATGAAATTAGTATGTTATGGTGTATTTTGTTTGTTCGTATATTTTAGTTGGTACTTGGAATTGTGTGTTAGCCTTTGTTCGTTGTGTTGCCCTGATTTGTTTGTGAATTCCTTTTGCGCCTGCTGGGTGCGATCAGATCATGCATCAAATCAAGTCATTGTTGAACATGCTTTTGAACTACAGTATAGAATTTGGCGGGTTGATCCGCAAGATCTCCTTAAAGATGGAGGGGCAATTCGAACAACTATTTGGAACGTGATTTGGAATGCAAGCATTCCCAATGGTTCCCAATCTGAAACAATCTGCAATTTAGACAGGTCCGTTCCACATAGTCACATAGTCAAATTGTATTGAGAGATGTTCTCCTTAGCCAGGAAATAAATAACTATGCTTCTGTTTTTGGATGTTTTTGGAGGGTAGCAGTCCAAAGCCAGATATATAAGGTCACACCAGATGCGCCGTTCATTGCACCAATTCGGAGCTGGTGTGCGACTGGCTCCGGCTCGGGCCTTCAACCTCTGCCGGCATCGACACAGTTGGCCTGTCGGAATCCGCCGCGTTTGTTCTTCTTTTGGCGTTGGGGGGCCCAACGCCACACTTGCACTTCACTATGACTTGCAAGGGGATTCATGGATTCTGTGCTAAAGCATTGGCCACAGGTGTGCGGAACAAGGGGCACTTTCACACAAAAAGCTCCTCAAGTGGCCTGTGCCGACCCCGCTTAGCCCATTTGGGTCGGTTCACTCGTGGTCCGAGGCGAGGTTGGACGATCCGCAAAAGTCAGGCTGCAGAGTCCATACCCCCAGGAACCTCTTGGAGATCCTGAGTGCTTTCTTCAGAGCTCCCTGGCAGTTCTACGGTAGAACTTCTACCTGTCTTCTGTTCGAAATTGGATCTGAAAGAGGACCCCCTGGAGGGTATATTGGCTTGCGCACAATATGTGCAATGTTTCAATTGTTTAATTAACAAGTTGACCTCCAGGTCAGGATCAGGATCGGTCAGGAAGGTCCTCAAATCGGCGTTCCAGCAGTCCAAAAAGAATGGAGGAGACTGTGATATAGCTTCATGGGTTGCTAGGACTGTGTGTTGAGCTTCTTCCGCTTGTTATTCTTATATATCCTGGTAGACGCCGACGTACTAAAAGTGAAGCGGAAATCCTGAGGTAAAAGGTGGAGGTGCCCAGCATCAATTAAACTAAACCACTTATAGTTGTATATTGAAGACACTCTTCTAGATTAGCTCAAACACCAGTAATTTTGCTTTGGATTTGGGGAGGCGTAGCTCAATCAGATGACACGTGAAGGGCAGGTCCTCATGCTGAGACTTCGTCAGAGGTTCATCCAGGTCTTCCGGACCAGCGCTGACCTGGCATCCCGATGGCATCACTGTCTCACCGCACACAGATGCACCAAGCTATAACTGATGGCATTGGCATGCATTGACATGCCGAAACGACGTGTGCCCAGTGAAAGGTGTATTTACACTCCTCCAAGTGATCATGTTACTTCACCCTGGAGAATGTGCTCGCCTTCCACAGCCTCCCGTTATTTTGGGGGGGGACCTGCTTGCACTGAGCGTGCATATGCTGTATGCGTCTGGATGTTTGCGGTATTAGTTCTGAGACTGTATATATTTGCCATCGTGTGCTGTTGGCCCCTTAACGAGCCGAACAACGTATATATAATATATATTATCAGTGCCAGGCCAGATTCTTTTGCAGCTGCCTCCTTTCATATCCTTCCTTCTGGGATTTGGAAGTACAGGATTCCATTGGCGCCATGGCTTCTCGAGCAAAGATGCAGACCACACCAATGGATTCCTTCATGACGGGTGGGCAGGGTGTTGCTGGGGTGTTCGGGTTGCTGGGGGTTCCTCAAGAACACCTGTCGGATGAGTCAGCACAGGTCCGGAGGTTCGTTTCTGTGGATCGCCCTCGTGTGTATAATCATTAGGAACCGTTGGCCTCAAGATGCCATTCTATGAGTGAAAACGAGTGAATCAGGGCAGTTGAAATGATTGCGGGCCTTCCGGCCAACCTCCATGGAACTGGATATTGCACAAAGTATGCTGGGGCGATGAAAAGTCTCAACCAATCTTTCGCTAAGCTTTCACGAAAGAAAAGCTATTGGTTGAGGGCGCTCTCTTGCTCTTTGCAGATGCTATACTAGCGTAAAGACTTCTCTCAGAACTAGTTCACCTGTCTTCCAGGATGAGGAGGCCACGTCCGGAATTTGTCCTGCGAGCAGCCTTGGCCTACGCATGCACGCAGGCCAGGTTCCGGCCTCAGACGCCACCCGACTCTCGGAACTAGGAGACATCGAGGAACCGCCCATTTGACATTCAAGATGACTGACTCCAAGTTTGGTGCCTAAGTCAAGTTTGGTCAAGTTTAATGGACAATTGCCAGAACAGTAGGTTTCAACATTGCTTGATTTGATCTCATGGTCGCGGCCCACTTGTGGATGTTGATTTGGGTGGTTTCTGGGGGATCCTGATGTTCAGTTGGCTTCTGGGCGGCTAAAAAGTGGCACATCAAACATCAGGAAATCGACGCTTTTGAATGATTCGAAGTTCAGATTCGCATCACAATGATTCACCCTCCAAGCTGCCTGCGACGTGCAACGGCTCAACGAAAGGGTCCATCGAAAGATGGTCCACTGCTTGGGAGTCGTAGTTGCCTGCTTGGAAAACCATGGAAAACCTATTGTGCCCGAAGACTGTGTAGGCATACCATGATGCGCCTCCTCCTCCTGTGGGCAGTTGCCATGGCAGGGTGCCTTGAGATGAGCGAGCATTTATTGGAAGGTCCTTATGTGAGCAATGCCTCCTTCGACCCCTCCAAGAACATCATCGCTGTGATGTTCAACTTATCGACCTTGCAGGGCGCTGCGAATGGCGATTGTCACCCAGACTTTGTGGACATGAGCACCGTTCAGGGCCCCGAGGAATCATGTCGTGCTGGTCCATTCTTCAACCCAGCATTTTCGACAATGCGACCGTCCAACGCGTGGGCCTGTTCTCGGAGACGCACTGCTTTTGGCTCAGCGATTCGCATATCCAAATCATCTTAGCAGTCAACAGCTCCTTCCAAGGTGGCTCTCTCACATTACTGCCAGTGAAGATTTGGGGCAAGCCCAACTTAGAGACGCAGACTTGGTACAAATCAGCAAAGGGAAGCGTCCAGGCGGGGCAAACAGATTGTGGCGTATCATCATTAGGTATAGATTGTGGTGTGAAAAGGAACTGAAATAGCTTTGAGTTGAAGGAATGCAATCGAGCTCCTCCCAACCTATCAACCAAATCCTGCAAATACGAGGGAAGCATGGCCTTGGAAAATAAGGCACTATTGGGTCGAGGGGGCGTGTGCTTGTGACTAACAGTTCTTATTTATAAAAGATGTTTAAAGATGCACATGTGCTTTCCACACTGTTGCGTGTATTGACTTCCAGCATTTTTGGTCATTGCCTTGCAGGAGGCATCCTGGGTTTCTGCGTTCGCAGTGTTTGCGGGACAAACTTCATGCCTGCCACACATGTCATCAGCATGCTTTCGCGGTGATCACGAAAGGTAGCGGTTACGCTACCTGAGTTGCCTTGCTTTAGCAATGTATTGGGGGTGGTCACGAGTTCCCGAGCTTGATTTCGGTCCCCCCCCCATTCGACTCCACCCTGCGCCGCGGAGAATTTGGTAGTGATCTGAGCAGAAACAAGCAGCTAGCAGCAGCAGCAAACCAGCAATGCAGCAGCAGCAGCAGTAGCAGCACAGCAACAGCAGCAGCAGCAGCAAAGCACCAAAGCTCACACAAGTTTGGCCTCCACAACTCTTCGTTTTCGTTCAGTTTTTGGGGGGTTGCGCAGACGAAATTGAAAGAGGGGGGCGACAGCAAAGCAGCAGCAGCAGTCTTCAGGATTCAAGCAACAGCAGTAACCAGCAAGAAGTAGCAACAGCAACCGCCAAACAGCAGCAGCAACCAGCAGGAGCAGCAACCAGCAGCAGCAGCAGCAACCAGCAGGAGCAGCAACCAGCAGCAGCAGCAGCAACCAGCATGAGCAGCAACCAGCAGCAGCAGCAACCAGCAGCAGCAGTAATCAGCAGCAACAGCAACCAGCAGCAGCAGCAAGCAGCAGCAGCAACCAGCAGCAGCAGCAACAGCGGCAGCCAGCAGCAGCAGCAGCAACAGCAGCAACCAGCAGCAGCAACCAGCAGCAGCAGCAGCAACCAGCAGCAGCAGCAACCAGCAGCAGCAGCAACCAGCAGCAGCAGCAACCAGCGACCAGCAACCAGCAGCCAGCAGCCAGCAACCAGCAGCAGCAGCAACCAGCAGCAGCAGCAGCAACCAGCAGCAGCAACCAGCAGCAGCAACCAGCAGCAGCAGCAGCAACCAGCAGCAACCAGCAGCAACCAGCAGCAACCAGCAGCAGCAGCAGCAACCAGCAGCAGCAACCAGCAACCAGCAGCAGCAACCAGCAGCAGCAACAAGCAGCAGCAAGCAGCAGCAACAAGCAGCAGCGACCAGCAGCAGCAAGCAGCAGCAGCAACCAGCAGCAGCAGCAGCCGCAGACATGCTACCTTTCGTCCACCCCCGTCTCCTCAAGTGCGCTTGGATGCACTGCAAGTCCTCAGCAGGTGCATGAAATACCTTAAATTATAGAACTTTGTAACCTAAGCCAAAGCCTCATCTTCTTGGCACTGGAAGTCGAGATGTGCCAGATGTGCCTGCAGCTGCTGCGCCACGATTGCGCACGAAATCTTGCGCACGCAGGGCCGGACATGGTTTTATCGCACGCAGCGTGCGAAGGCACTGTACTTTCAGAGCTTGCTGTGCCGGTGGTGATGATTGGAGGTTTGTTGGTCTACTGTATATACATGTATTGGAATCATGGATGTAATGTAATGTAATATATAGCATAATGGTGTATAATGTACTGGAATGTCATGGTATGGATGTATGTATGTATATATAGTATGTGTACACATCTCCCCTCTTTTCCTCTCTCCCTCTCTTTGTCATAATGCGGGAACGTGAACCTCTCCCGCTCCGTCTCAACAGAAGGGCTACCGGTTGCCTTTGTCAATCACAACAAAAGGGACAATGGCAATGGCATTCAACTCGCACCACGCAATGAGTGGCAGAGTGAAAAAGCGCCAAGCCCAAGTCCTGAAGCTGTATGGCTCGGCTTTTTGTCATTTATGTTATCGATGGGACCTTGACGAGGTTACGCTGCCTTCGACAGCCAGCACCCCTTCGACATGCAAAAGGCCATCTTGAGCTCCTACGCTTCTGAGGTCACGTTTGGGCAGTTGGAGCGTGCATTGTTCTTGGTTCCCTTGTGCAGTAGGACGGTTGCAGGAGCCTTACCTGACTTTCAGCTGAGTTGAGGAGCCCTCCGAAAATGAGGAGACTTTGATGGCTCAATGCCATTGGGCCTTTTAAAAACAAAGGAGCGCATTTGGGGGGGTTCTGCGGCTGTGGCAGCGGGAAGTCTTCTTTCAACTGATGTTTGGGCAGTAGGTGCTGCTTCTGGGACCACCACTTGCAGAACACCCAAGGTACATGGAATTATGCTCGGAACTGGGGGAAAAGTAACCCCCTGGCATAGGACTCGTTGGTGGTAGCAGATTGGTCTCAGAGCGCACGCTGGACCGCTACAGGTGGGCTCTGGACTCTTGGCCCTGGGCCCGGCCATTGCCCACAGCGGCTGGGTGGGCGTGCCCGCCGCTCGATCAGGTCATGCTCGGAGGTCGTTTTTCAGGTCGTGCGTTTGGGAGTGAGATCGCATGTGTGGAGCCTTGAAGCTTGAAGAAAACTGCCCACAAGACCTATAGGTATGGTGTGGAGAAGTGTGGGGAGCAATTGAATCGAACCCGGCCGAATGTGTTTTATTCGATCTTTGTTGCAGAAGTTGCACCAAGAGAATTCTGAGCATTTCGGGAATGCCCAGGAGCTCTCCATCAATCGGGGGTTGATGAATTAGAAGTTAACATGATGCACATACACATTGAGATGAGCCTTGCTGCAGCCTGAGCTCCAATACAGTATAAATGTATTAAGCGCATTTGTGTGCTTTATCGCCAAGCAGTATAAACAGGGCGCCAGCTACCCAGCATAAGGATGTTTTCCAGCGGTGCAAAAGTGTTTGGGATGGAAAGTCTTAGAAGAGGTCCCTGAAAAATGGGTAGAGCCTTTGCGGCTTTTGATCTTGTGGCATAACCGGATCCCAAGCAAAGGTCGGTGAGCGTTCCTTGGCACCCGCACGAACGAAGCAGTCACCCGATCCAAGGATGCGCCTGTCAGCATCCAGTTTTTAGACCCACTCCCAAGTGGCCCCAGTTTTGGACGCTCTTGACAGGTCGACACCCAACAGTGCAGGGGTCACCGACCTGGGTGAATCCGGTGGTTCCTTCCGTCGAACCACTCGTTCGACTAGTCAAGAACCATGGCACAATCATTGGCTGGTGGCTTGGAGGGCACGAGGGAACCGAGCGAACACATATTCCACATGTTAAGGACGATACGGGGCTGATTGCCGTGCCTCCAGCATGCCACTTGAGAGAAGGGTCACATTCTAGATTCTAGACTAGCGTTCGGGCTGTGGGCGAACCATTCTCTGTGATTACAGCTTTGTTTTGACACAAGGCCATCGTTCCCGTCCCTGAGGTTTTGGTGATGTGTGGTCTTTGCTCAGCTTATACCTCCTACCTGCTTGGTTGGACGATCTTCCGGCTGCAGGCAGAACATCCATGGGCGGCACATCCATGCCCCTAGACTACAGCGAAAGGGTTTTTCGATAGTAGGCTCAGCCACTTGGATCACTTTGTGGTTGCACTGGGTCAGCTCACTTTTTTGTACTTTTAGTACTTCCATGAACCTGAGGGACACTGAGGGCAGGCATGACGGGACCCTCACTATGGGACTGGTCAAGGGCGTCAAGATACAAGGCACCACAACCATCCACAACCAACACCCCTCACAAAATATGCCTTGGCTGGCCTACTCGAGAAAGGAACCTAGTACCATCATGTACCATCCAGTACCAGCAGGATACATCTTCTTCGGCTTCAGAGTTCCAACCATCGAAAAATGCCTTCCGAGTGCCACCTGTTCCTCATGGGGTGAAGCTTTCGCCGGAACAACGAGAAAAGCGCACAGCAGGTGCATCCGTCTTCGGAGTCTGAGCAAGGAGCTTGGAGTGAAAGACAACAAAATCAGTTTTATACACTTGCACATACTCCTGGCCTTACTACTAGGAGCAAGGACGCTACTAGGGGCTCCTGGCATCGCTACTAGGAGCATTCTTACTACTAGTAGCAAGAAGCTGCACAATGTAAATTTCCTGCATGTTCTTACAGCGCTCCGGCTCGGTTTCTGATTTTTTGGAGCATTTACCATGGAAAGCATGGAAAACTGACGTCGCTCCAAGGTCGGGGGACTCTTCGCCGGGTGCTCAAAGGTTTCAGATGCAGTATTTCTCCAGCTATTTGTGCGAATGATCAACTGGAACAGCTCCAAGAACACCCAAAGCCATCGCTAAAGCGCCGCGAAGAAGCTGCCCAACTGTGGTATGGCTCACTATTTGGGCTCGCATCGTAAGAGAGTTTGAGCCTCTACGTTCAGTAGCTACAAAATGTTCAAAACATTTGTCACAAATGGTTTTGGGTGATGCCATGCACAAGCTAACCCTTGTGCTACAGCATAGTTTTGCCATGTCAGTTTTCATCAGTTTTCCTGCTTGATAAGTGCCCTGCCCGTGTTAGCCTGTGCAGCTTCCCTTTTCAGCAGGTGTTGCTGAGTTTTTTGGGGTTTTGGGCAACTGCTTGGCCTTTGCGCATTCTGGTTTTTACATGCCGAAAGCAGCATGTGATTCCTTTTCATCGCGCCGGGCTCAGATCGACCGAGCCAGTGAGGTCTGAAGAATCGACGGAGGAGGAAATGTGACGATGTCGTGATGTCGTTCGTGCTATGTGGGGGGGGAGATGATGTTCTTGGTGTCCGCTCGGTCCGCTTCTGGAGGAACATGCCAGGATCCAATTGGATCGTGTTTGGGTATTGCTGGATGTAAGCAAAACGTCCTTGAAGAAGTCATATGTGCTAGATTCTAGATGACAGTGGCTGCCATTCCGATTGCCGCCCCACAAGTTCGAGGTCAATATCATTGAAATTTGCGTGTTGGATAGTTTGGAAAGGAGTTTTTGCGGGGGTGGATGCGTTTCTCAACCCACTTCTATCCTCCAGCCAGGGCCAACTGGTCCAACTGGATCCAACTGCTCCTTGAATTGGTTGAATTTATTGTAGTCAAGAACTGGTGACGGCGATTTGACCAAGACTTTTTAATACTTTTCTTCTGTCAGTTTTACCTGACAAGACCTGCATATAAGAGCTTTGGCACCTGTTTGTTCCCCGCACCGTATTGCAGCTCTACTCAATTATATACTGAATTCCCTCTACAGAATACAGAAGCCCTATTTCTGCAAGTTTGAGCATTGGCATGTTCATGTTCAGCTAGGGTGCTGCAAATTCCACGTTTTGACACTTGAAGTCGGCAATCCCGTACACAGCAGTACTCCAACAGCCCGACACACTGTACACAGTGCAAACATATGCAAGTTGTGGACTAGTCAAGTTGTTCTGCGGTGTTCCGGTGTGTTGTGGTGTCCCGACAGAACTTCACACAAGTATGTAGTTGGTAATCATATATGCTTGCCAGGTTGAGTTCCAGGAATGCAGGATGTCGAAGCAGGTGAACAAGACTATGTTGTTTAATGTGACGTCGTGGAAACCAAGAAACCGAATGTCACAACAACCAATGCACTAACCATTATTCAAACAACTCCCAACTTCCAAAGAAACTTGTAAGATCTTGTAAGAGTATTCACCGAACGGTTCACTGCCACTGCCACCGAAACGGCGGAGAACCTTCGAAGGTTCACCTCTTTGTGGGGCCACCCTCTCGCACCGTGGGAGGAGTCGTCCTCCGAGAAGATCGAGGCGACCGAGGAGTGGTCGTCGCGCTCCGTTTCGCTCAAGCGCTCAGACCTTCGCTTGAGCGGACCTTGTCCAGGTTGAGATCAATAGCTACGATGATGTCGGGGAACAAGCACCTTGGAACAAGCACCTTGCAAGTGTCTTTTTCGGAAACCAGGGATTGCTTCGGCCAAACCCATTGTATAGGTGTAGGTTGGCCATGATGTCAAATGTAAGGCTCCAAAATTGCCACATATAAAGTGACATAAAATGACCAAAGCCCTCGTTTGTCCCTTTCTTCAAGCATCGGAGAGAGCACGAGATGCGGCGACCCAACCCCCCGGTCGTGGAGGCATAAGCACTGAGGCTTTGGGCATGCCAGGGCGCGTGATATCTTTGGTGGTGCAGGCTCTGATGTTGATTGGGGTTTGCACCATCTTCCTGGTTCTCACCGGGATCAATGCAGAGCAGCTGGAAGAGAAACTCGGATTGTGACCAGAAGTTCTCGGGGAATGTGTGGGAGTCTCCAAGTTGGGAGGCGCGGTTCGCACACCGACCGAATCGTTCGTGGAGCCTACGTGCGGCTGCACTTGCGCTGGACAAGGAAGTGGTTCGCGTCACTGCATCACTGCATGCCTCGAGGGTGCGAGGCTTCAAACCACCTCAAAAAGGAGTTCAACTCGGCATCCGCCCACCAGTTATGAAAAAACAGTACACAATAAAGCAGCTGAAAAACTCACCCCAAAATGACTTTGGGTGCATTTTGGCAGTAGCAAGTAGAGGGTGCAAGTTAAAGAGGCAAAGGAAATCATTGAGGGGTGTTTGACATGCGCTTTTTGACTGGGTCTAGTGTTTTGTGACAGGCGGATTGGTAAGCCCACCTCGGTTGGAAGATCTGTGCACCTCTATAGCTCACTAGGGGTTGATTGAAGAATGTCCATTGGCTGGGGTGAGGTGGAAGTTTAGGTACTATACATGTTTGATGTAAATCAAGTTGGATGGTCACTGTCTTGTATTTCTCCTGCATTGCTTCGTCCAAACGCAACACTTCCCGATCGCCCCTGACAGTTGTGTCAGCTCCTTGACAACGAGCTAAATACATTGATTGAAGTAGACCAACCCGCATATCACGAGGCGAACATCTCCAGGTCCACAATCATGTATATTTAGACTCTTAATAAAGCCCCCCATATGGGGATGCAAAGCCTTCAATTCTGGGATGCTTATCTTTTTCCCGAAAGACTTGGTCGAAGGGCTCTTCCTAACCTTCCTAAAGGCACTTGGTCTGTTCTAGCTGAGGCTTTAGCACTTGTAAGAGTCTAGCACTTGCAAAGACTTGATCAAGTTTTAGCACTTGGTCTGTCTAGCTGAGGCTGTAGCACTTGTAAGAGTCTAGCACTGGCAAGAGATTTGATGAAGCTTTAGCACTTGGTCTGTCTAGCTCAAGCTTTAGCACTCGGTCTGTCTAGCTCAGGCTTTAGCGCTTGTAAGAGTTTTTTGCGTTTGCAAGAGGCTTGACCAAGTTTTTGCATTTGCAAGAGGCTTGACCAAGTTTGAGCATTTAGCAGGGGACTTGACCAAGCTTTACGACTTGCAAGGGACTTGACCAAGTTTCAGCAGGACTCGACAAAGGTTTCCAAACTTCTGAAGAATCGGATGATGAGAACCGACACTTCGGATGCTTTAATTCCGGCCGGGCATGGCTCTCCGGTGTTATGGCTTCTGCTGGAGCTGCTTGGAAATACTGACAAACTCGTTGTAGACACACTGGCCGTATTTCTCCTTGTTGCGCACCTTGGAAAACTTGTTGGCGAAGTAGCTTGGCGCCCGTTCCAAGAACTCGGACCACTGCACGCCGATGACAGTCTGCCCTGTCTTCGACGATCGCACTCGGATCCTGCCATCCTGTGTGAGGAGTGGCTTGCCAGGATGGTGCCTCTGACCCAGCTCCACGAGTTTTTTGGAGCTCCTGCTGAATCAAGCGGTCGCCTTTCGAGAATTTTGAGAAGCGGTCAAAGTTGGCAAGATTGGCCTGAGCGGGGAACAGCCAAGCATGTCAAACATGTATGATCCAGCGGAAGGCGACCACTACAGTCTTCGAACGCCAAGTTAAACCCAAACACTTTTTGCAGACCAGGGGCCAAAATCTCTTTGCTGTGCTTCTTGTGCGAAGTCTGCGGTGGAAGCAACTTCGTGATCTTCCTGAAAAAACCGCAAGGATCGCAAGGGTTACAAATGTCAACCAGCCCTGTACACGGGCTTTCATCCCACGCAAAAAGATGAAGGAGCTCTTAGACCACAGGTTTTTATCTCATTTTTCCGTGTCATGGGTTGGCAGTTTCAACCTCAACCCTCAGGTTTTGATTCCACAAAAGCTGGAACGCATAGGCTCAGGCCATAGGTGTTCATCACAAAAAATCAAACAAACAATGACGAGTGTTTCGAGACAAGAAGCTTCTGCTTCGACTCCTTCTTGTCAGTCACCTCGTCATCCAAATCGTCATGGAGGATGATGGTCAACGGATTGGCATCTCGCAGCTGCTTTCGCTGGAGAGGTGCAAAATCGGGCTCATGGCCTCAGAACTGGCAAGCTTATGAAATGTAGTACGGGGAGCAGCTTCTGTGTGAGGTGGCCTCAGCATCCGGCTATCCGGCGTGCTTGCGCGACCCTCTCGCAGGATCGGCCTCGTGGCCTCAGAACTGGCAAGCCTATAGTACAAACAGTACGGGAAGCAGCTTCTGTGCGGTGGCCTCAGGTGTGGTGTCCCCAGCATCCGGCGTGCTTGCGCGACCTTCTCACAGGATCCGGCTCATGGCCTTAGAACTGGCAAGCTTATGGTACAAAATGTTCTACGGGAAGCAGAGCCTCAGATGTGGTCTCCCCATCCAGCGTGCTCGCGCGACCCTGGATCCGCCTCATGCGCCTCAGAGCTGGCAAGCTTGTAGCACAAATATGTAGTACGGGGAGCAGCTTCTGTGTGAGGTGGCCTCAGATGTGGTCTCCGCAGAATCCGGCGTGCTTGCGCTCAGAACTGGCAAGCTTATAGTACAAATGTAGTACGGGAAGCAGCTTCCGTGTGAGGTGGCCTCAGATGCGGTCACTTTGAAGATTTTGTAGTAGACCTGAGAAGTAGACTTGATCAAGTTGTTTAGCATTTGGTCTGTCTAGCTCAGGCCTTAGCGCTGGTGAAAATCTAGCGAGTCTAGCACTTACAAGAGAAGAGACTTGATCAAGTTTTAGCATTTGCAAAAGAATCTCCCCATGGCTTTGGCACTGGTAATCTGCTCAGGCTTTGAGCACTTGCAAGAGCCTAGCACTTGCAACAGACTTGATCAAACTTTTGCGTTTGCAAGAGACTTGACTGACCAAGTTTGAGCATTTGCAAGGGTTGACCAACTTTTAGCATGCGCGAGAGACTTGACCAAGTTTGGTCTTCACAGAGTCTTGCACTTGCAAGAGACTTAGCCAAGTTTTAGCACTTGCAAGAGACTTGACCTAGTTTCAGCATTTGCAAGAGACTTGAGCAAGTTTTAGCAGTGGCAAGAGACTTGACCAAGTTTCAGCATTTGCGAGAGACATGACCAAGTTTTAGCATTTGCCAGAGACTTGGCCAAGTTTTGCGAGAGACTTCGCCAAGTTTTTCCTTGACATCTCGAGTCTGTCTTATCTACTTGCAAGAGACTTGGCCAAGTTTGAGCATTTGCAAGAGACTTGACCAAGTTTCAGCACATGCAAGAGATTTGACCAAGTTTTTAGCAATTGCCAGGGACTTGACTCGTCCACGCTTTGCTTACAACTTTCCTGCCTGCAGGGGTCTAGTTTTAATCAACCTTTTGTATCATGAATGAACCAAGTTTGTACTGTACCCATTGGGCAGATTCTTTTCACGCATGAAGGCCCGAACTCAACATCCATTCACAAGCTATTTTGGCGTCCACCCCGCCAGGCTTGATGATTTTTTGCCAGCTTGGAGTGTAGACAAACCCATCCCATTATGCCCATCGCTGCTGGACAAGTTGTGCGGTGCCTGACGCACATGTTTTGCAGCAAGGTGCCAGCGGGTGCAGGAAGTTACTACTTACTGAGATGGAATTGGAAAATGGATGTGGTCCCTTTTGAAAGGCCCTTTTCACGTCCACATGATGTGTTCTGTTTTCGTTCGAGCGTCCCATCATGCCATCCGAGGACGGACCGTTTATCGTCTTCATGGTTTCTGTCGAAACCCGGGCGTTCGTCGTGGCATGTCGTGGCCCCACTGAGGATCTTCGGGCTCAAATGGCTTGAGAAGCGACCCTTGATTCTGTTGGCCGCACTCCTTGAGGTGACGCCTAGCGTGCTGATGGCCACAGCCACTTGGGACTTGTGAGAGGGTGACGTAGACTGACCCAGATGGATAGAGATGGATAACAAAAACCTGGATGGTTTGGACAAAGGACTGCTTAGCACTAAATTCAAAGCAGGTGTAATTCGAGGGCACTTTCCGGATGTCTATAGTCCGGTTGACATTCGGTTTGATGCCTACCAAGAATCCAACATGTCAAGGTGCCACTCATTGAGTTTCAGGCTAGTTGTGTTAACCTTTTTGATTGGGAGATCCTTCACCCCTGCAGATCAATTTGTCGTGAACATATTCACTCGATTTTGATGTGTTTTCATGTTTAAATGTTTGATTAGCTTGATCAACTGTTCACCACATTGTTTCGGAGGGAATTGTTTGTTCTTCGAATTGGAAAGTATGTTGGAGGGATGGTTTGGTCATCGGGGTTGGACACCATGTTGCGGTGGGAAGAGTTGCACACCAGGCCTGTCGCTCCGTCAATGAGGCCTCTCGCACCCCAAGGCTATGCCATAGGTCCATAGGTGGTCTCAAAATCAGGCAAGAGCCTGAATGTAAAAGGTAGACCATATGAGCAGTTGTGCTCTTCTTGTAAACGATCCACCCCGTATGGCGAATCCGGCCGGCTGATCTACGAATGGACCGGAAGGATCAGAAGGGCACGACTGCTCGTCGCCGAGGTGAAGGAGACGTTTTGCTTGACGGCTTCTATGACTTGACAAAAGCAGGAGTTCTATGGATTTTTGGTCATTCCAACCTTGAAGCGTCATCAGCAAGCGCGGAGCCATGTGTTTTTCGCATGCAGGAACTGCATGTGAGTGATATTGCATTCCTGCGTAGTATTTCTGATAGGCCCTATTATAGACTCATTTCCCGCCAATAAGGGTGAGAAACACATATATTGGGTCTGGGACGGGTGGGTGATCTGAATTAGGTAAGGTTAAGGGTGGCCTTTGCGACTCAAAGCTCGAAGCTAGAAGATTCTCAAAGAACAGCACCGACGCTGACAGAAGGTGGAATGCTCCCAGTTCATGGCCAGGTCCAAAATGGGGAACGACAAAATGTGTGCTAAGTCAGTTAAGTCCCACAAGGAACGCTTGGGGGCGATTTCGCGCGGTCGACGGTGCGGAGACGTTCCGTCGAACACCGTCGAACACGAGGCGTTTGGTGCCTTTTGCTCTGCCGTGTGCTCGTTGGTCATCCTCGCATCTGCCTTCACTCATGATACGGCCATCGACGACTGCCTGGATGATGGCCAAGAGAACAGCTGGCCTTTCTTCACAGACTTCAAAGGTTTCAAAGCTTGCAGAGTTGATCAGATTTGTTCGGGACCAGTTTCCAGCACGTGGAACAAGCCAGGAATTGCTGTTTGCGGGGTCAATATATGATAATATATATATATAACTATCACGACCAACTGAGTTGTGCCATTTGTGCTGGTTGTGTATATATTGCACGAATATGTGTAATTATATCAAATTATATATATATATGTGTATATCTATGTGATTCGAGAATTTGGTATCCGATTTTAAATTGTGTGTATATATACACACATGTGTTAAGTAATGTTGTGGTTTTGTAGCTTTTGTCAAGACGCCTGTTAGTTCTTCCATTTCTCTCCGCTCGCAACTGTTTTCTGGTTCCTGGTTGAATGATTTTAGCCATTTGGGCTCCGTGTCCGCCATTTGTTGGGCTCTTGTTTGCACAGGGCCCCAAAGAGAAACGATGTCTCAAAACTTCCATATGACTGACTTACTTCATTTGTGCCGCACAGACCGCGCGAGGTTTGTCTTTGTCCTGGAACACGGTGTCCAGCTTGCAGATGTGGAGAGTTTGGATGAAATTCCATACATCTACTCAGGGATTGCAGGGGTTTAGCTCGAAGTTAGTGGTTGGCTGGGTTTGGCTGAGCAGGACGGGAGGGGAACAATAGTCTTGAAAAGTAGGCATTGGCCACGCCATGAAAGCATTCTATTCGATTCGATCGATGCAATCTTCACCCTTACACAAACGTGGACATCACAAAGTCCTTTCCTTTGTTGCAAGTCTCAGTTTCCGTGCTGGGAGTGCAATGACATGTTCAGACCGAGATATTTGGGGATGACTTGAGGGGTCGGGGAATGACTTGGTGTGAGATCGATGTCGTCCTGGAATCCAATTTGCCTTACTACTAGTAACAAGGACGCTACTAACGGGGCTCCTGGCATCGCTACTAGGAACAAGGACGCTACTAGGAACAAAGGGCATCGCTACGTTGTGAACGTGCACGGCATGGTGAGAAACCACCGCTTGGTCACACATGATCCGAAGTAGTACTGGAGCACCGAAGTGTCCCGTGCAAGTCAGAAAGCCGAGGCACTTGCCATCACTTGCCATTCGTACTGGCCCAGTCTACGTACCTATAGTTTGGTAAGTAGTTACCTATTAGGTAGTGTTCAGTACGAAGTGTGGCAATGTCAGCTCAGTCCATTCAGCTTCATCGCAACCTCGCGACAACCTCGGATTTTGTTCACGCAAAGGGACCTTCGACCTTCGCTGAACGGACCATGTTCCCATTTTGCTTTCGGTGCGTCATGGACCGCACCAGATCGTGTTCTCCTTCGGTGGGATCAACGTGCTGCCCACCTTGCTCTCGGACTTTCGGCAGCGTGGGGTCTTGGGTCGTGCATTGGTGAGCTTCACTTGGCGCAGCTACCTCTTCATCATTTTCTTTTATGTCCCTTGGTGGTGACCAAGGCATGGTCCTACCACGTGGTCGGCACATGGCAGGATCTTCTGAGAAACACACATGGAAACGCCCCTAACCGCTGAGGGGTAACCGGAGGTTTGGAAAGAAATACGATGAAACAAAGGTATATAGAGATTTGACCATTTTGACCAACATGATTCTGACTGGGAGCATCTTTGCAACAGAATGGGGGAAGGTGCGAACTTACTGTGCCATGTGCCATAGACACAGAGCTTTCGTTGCAGGCTTTACCTTTGGCCCACCTTTGGCTCATCGGAAACAAAGGCAGATTAGAAGAAACGCATTGAATCATCGAGTGGCATTCCTTTCTCTTACTTCCTGTTGTCCTTTCGTTGCGTCCAGGTGAGTCAAGACGGATCCCTGGAAAAAGAGACTGAAGAGCTGCCAAAGCTGTTTGTAAAGGAGGTGCCCATCAAACAATAGCTCCAGGACCCTGTGAACGTCTATGGTATGGTTCGGGCACGGCGGTTCACCACAGAGCTGTCATCAAAATGGAACAGGTAAGGACCAGCATGGCGGTGGTCTATTTTGCGCTTACTCAAGTCATCCCAAGTCCAGGATATGCGGCAGTCTATGTTGTTTCCGTGAATGATGCGGTACGGTAAGGTTCTGATCAATAAATGTTTCGTTGATGCCCAAGCGCATTTTACATCATACGCCGTAGACCTTCATAGACCTCTTTTAGAGAAGACACTTGTTCCGGCGATCACCGATGTAGCCCTGCCTTCGGCTCATGGATGCTGGGCTCAAAAACAGCAGAGCTTGGCTCGTTTAAGCATGTTTAAGCGCTATATAAACGATGCCGCCAAACTATGCCAAACTCAAAAACAGCAGAGCTTGGCACTTCTCATCCCACAAATTTGTTGCCCTGGTCGAAAGAGCTGGCCTACAATTCAAGCAGTCAGCTGCGCTGGCAGCCAAGGCTTTGGTGGCCATTTGCGGCTACAAAGCAGGAGGCGACATCAGCTGGGTCAAGTGAGGGAGTTTGCCGGAGTTCAGGCATGATTTGCCTCACACAAACACCGGAACTCCCGAGATATCAAGAGATCCCTCGTGAATCAGGCGGCGACGTCCTGTGCATCCTGGGTTTGCCAGTGCTGTGATCCCTCACAGTCTCGCATCCGCATCCGGTGAATGCGCTTCCGCGCGACGTCACGGCTGCGTCACCGCGGAGTTCTTTCGCCGGCAGCTTTGGCCGTTTCGCGCCAGGACTCGCCATGGCAAGCCAAAAGGTCGATTCCAATGTCCTCATTGGATTGTGGCTCGGAGGAGGTGGACATGACCTGGTACCCGGTGGCCAGGGAGAGATGACGGTGCGTATTCTGAGAGAGTTGTATATACGATTATATAGTTACTATCAGGTGCCTGAAGTGGCGAGGAAATCTGATGGTTTGCGAGGTTGTGCTTACAAGGCTTAGCTTTTTTGGTGTGTGTCACCTGCTTGGGGGATGGCTGTCATTTGGCCCGCGTGTGGCCACGACTAGTCAGAGATCAAGCACCCTCATGCAGAGCTCGTGCCCAGGCATGGCTGCAGCCCATCACGAGGCGGAGGATGGGATTTGATCGTTCCTCGGATGCTACAGGTGTCCATAGGTTTCTGGACAACTGGACAACCCAAGGCGGGTCCAGGAGCAAAGTAAAGAATATAGGTAAAGGCGACAAAGTCTGAAGTACTTTTCAGAGTGCTGTGCACATGTTTCCTCCTGAACTGGATGGCAGAAACAATCCCAAGTGATAAGTGCCCTGAGTGCTGCTGTAAAATCAGCATTCCGCTCAATCTCCCTAGCATTGGCTGGGTTTGTTCGACTAGGGGCGTGCTCCCATTCCATACGGCCACATGTCATGCACCCACAGCGCAGTGATGTTCATGTTGAGTTGAGGTTCTCAACCTTGCTTTTCCTACCCCAAATAGGGTATAGCAAGATCGAGATCACCGCTGTATGATCCTGTGTGCCCATACCACAACGGCAAGGCTTGTGATATTCCCTGGTTCTGCTGCTAGTTTACTTAGCAACCGTGTCACACCAGTACTAAGGTTGCATATGCTGCAATACTGATGCACGTGCTTCTGGCATTTCCAGTGCCGTTTCACGCGCTGGCTGAAACCATTGAAGCTGCGCTTGGTATCAGAGACCAGTTGGTTGAGTCGAGCCTTTGCGGGCGCGGCCTGTTGTTGCGTGTTCCGCGCTTCCTTGCACTAGGTCTTTGTGCCTGGGATGCGCGGGGCTACCAGAGGCCTCCATGTTTCGGGATGTTTTTGGTGGGGGGCTACCAACTCCCACTTGCCTGCAAAATCATGTCGGCATATGTCGGCCCTTTGGCACCACAACCCTTTGGCCTCTAAGATGGATGGACAAACTGACAAACGTGTCAAGGCACAACGATGTGGAGCTTCCACCAAGACGGCCTTTCTAGGACCAGACGGCCTTTCTAGGTCTCAGACGTCACAAGTCGGTCATTCTCCATATCCTACCTCTCAGGTGCCTTCCTGGCCTACATCATCCCGTTCTTTGGCGCCTTACTGAATCTGGTGGCAGCCTTGGCTGGGCAGGCATCGGTCTTCATTTTGCCGGTGCTCTTCAGCTGGGCGGTGCAACGGCAGCAGGGGCACCGCATCCGAGCCTACGATTGGCTGCTGGGCGCCGTGGCGGAAAGCGGCCGGGCGACCGGAGAAAAGGCCACGACCCAAACGATCAGATTGAGATCTCCACGGTGACTTTTGGTCTTATCAACTATAGGACAGGCTTTTGATAAGCGCCATTTCGGAGGACATGTCGGACATGTAATTAGTTTGATATGTTTTTCTATATATATATATACTATTTTGTTTTTGATCCACCCCGTGTGTAGATTATGTTTCCGAGTTGGAGCTTCCTGGTTTATCATATTTTATCATCCACCGCACACGTTAACAATGTTGGGGATTTGCAGTTGGAGGGGGTTGAGGGAAGAGAGGAAGCCAGGTGATATCGGATAGCACCACACACGGTGGCCGCTTCGGTGCGAAAGATTATGGTTAAGCATGGCACCTTTTATCACCTTTTGGCATAGATATATATATATATAAGAAAGAACGAACATATAGATAGATAGATAGGTTAGGTTAGGTTAGGTTAGGTAGATAGATAGACAGATAAGATAATTAGATAGACAAGATAAGAAAGAAAGAAGGAAACACATGAAACAAACACATAAATAAATATATAAATATAATAGATTATATATAATTATATAACCCTTCACAACTGTGGCCCTCGCGCCGAGCATTCATGTTTTTGAAGTGGAAAACGGACCTGTGCAAGATGTTGCTGCTTTTCTTTACACGCAGAGTGGTTCTCTACTTCGGCGTTGGGGGGAGAGTAGCCAAAGTCTTTGGGTCATGCAGATGCTTGCAGTCTAAGTTTAGTTCCAACATTTACGCCCGCATGCCCGGAAGACTGCTTGGGTTGGTACTCATCACTTTTGGGCTTGGCATAGGCTGCGGCCGGGGCAGCTAGACACCGATTTCAATCTTAGGTGCTTTGTGCCTCTTGGTGGGCGTCGCAGGCGCCGTGTCCGGCATATATTATGGATCCCAACAGTTGGCGTCGGCTCTTCGAACTGCTTGAGCGCAGGGCATGAGCCCAAAGATGGCATAGTCTCCGATGACCAAAGATTCTTCTTGTTCCTGGTTTGCCTTTGGGTCGGCGCGGTAGCTAGACAGATCTAGACAGTCAGCTGTTCACTGTACGATACGGTACGTATATGGGAAGTAGACCCAAAGAAGACGGCATCTAGTCCAGCGTCATTGTGCGCTCGGAGAGCACAGCATCGAGCCTCGGTTCGGGGCCTCCCTCCTTGATGTCGCTGCCCTGGATCTACACGTGTTTGGGGACGTCGGAGATGATACCCTTTGGAATTGTTTGAAAGCATGTTTGTTTCGGAACGACTTGCACCCCACAGCTATTTTGTTGGCTTGGGGGGGCACTGCATATGGATTGCAAGTCCTTCAAGAATAAGACAGAAAAGCCCACCAGCCAACCAATGTTGTGGTGTTTGAGGTTCGTGCGGAGTGGTTGATAGAAATCACTTACATGAAGAAACTTTGATAAGAAGCTTGACTCTGTTACCCAACCGGACCAATGGGACTCCAAGTGCGCCGAATGAATGGCATTTGCTCGTGCAGCGGCTCACATCACCACTTCGAACCCTAGAATTGTAGCCATGGGCAGCTGTGGTACAAAGGAGGTTGCAGAAGGCGACATTGTTTTGAATGCTGCTCGCCATTCGTAGAGGTGTTCAGAGGGAATGGACGCCAAGATGGGGGGTACCTTTCAAAGGAGTTTCTCCCACCACAGGTGCTTTTGTGGATACAAGGTTGGAGAATCTAGGGGACTTGATGGCTGTTCGTGGCAGGGCGACTTGACAAGCACATTCACAGTGCCGTGTTTTGGTCAAACTTGAAATTCTAGCCCCCTGCAGCACCATGGGCAAAGTGTAAGATAGAACTTGGAAGGAGGGTGACATGTGACCTTTAGTAGGCTCTTTGATGAACAAGGCTTAGCAGCTTTAGCAAGTTCCAATGTAGAGCTTCACCTTCAGACCTGCACTTCAGGTCTATGATGTGGGCACCAGTGTCTCGGCATGTTCGGCAGAAACTGAAGGTTCTACATCAAACTCGGCTGCCCGCCATGACTTTTGGAGTGGTGAGCTGTGAACGCTCGACCCCAAACCGGTCTCAGGTATTGGCATGCACGACCTGAACAATGTTCTTCACATGATTGGCACCGGCGTGTACCATGCGAGCACTCAGATTGGGGACCAGGAGCAGCCACAGAAAGAGCACACGGGCCTGACCCTTCAACATCACCCAAATCCTTTTAAATCCCTTTGTTGCTTTGACTCTTCCTTTGCTCCTCCGATCACCGCCCCGCCAAAAGGGGTTTCTGCCAGGAGTGGGCCTATGGCTATTGCGAGACGCCAGTCAGCAGGTGAGAAAGCAAACCCGGCATGTCCAGTATTGATGAAGGATGATCCCGGCCTGGCAGTCCATTGAAATCGCTTCTTTCTTCATGCTTCACGATCACCATAAGGAAGCTACTAAGGGAGAATGAATGAAATAGCGTGAAATCGTTTTGTTGGCCGCTGGCCGACTGTTTTGTTGAAAGAACCTCCCATTTCCTAACAGGCCGCGTTCCAATCAACACAGCAATCAATTGGAGCCGCCATTGGGCCGACAGCTCGAGCCCGGGCTCAACTCAGGAAAGGCTGCGGCGTTTTCCACTGCACCTTGGTCCTTCGAGATACGCCATCAAGCATTTTGGGACCGTCATTCTGGAGTAGTGTTGATGGAAGCGTACTTGCACCGCCTCAACAATCCAATAAGCATTTGCAATAATTGTGTTTTGATGGTTTGTGTATGTTAGGTGGTGTTCAGAGTTCTTCCATCGTTCGAGTAAACTTGTTGGACCGTCGCTTTCGTGTGATCCTTTGGCTTGAACGTGTGTCCCGTCGCTGGGTGGCTCGAGGTAAGCCCAGAGGCTACCCTTTTACCTACCGCGAGTCCATCAACCTGGGCCCATCCCCACTCTCGCCGGACGGGGCTACGGCGGACGGGGCAGAGGAACCCACCTGATGGTCTCAGGAGTGTTTCACAGCAGTCCGCTACCCACCCCTTCACCCACAGAGCCCCTTCCTCTAAAGCATGCAGATCTTAGATTGGATGAGTTTAGTAAGAAGGGCGTAAACATGACAATGATGAGTGTAGCCTTCGCAGCAAAGGTTGTTTCATGCAGCGTGCCCGTGCAATCAATGTGGGTCACAAGGGTCGCTTTTCAACTCTTTTTGACTGTCTTGTGACTTGTGACTTGGGGATGTGCAGAGAGACACACTAACGGTTCTTGAGTGCATTTGAGTGTTATTATACAAGTTTTTCTGCACCTCTCTACGGAAGCCTACTGTAAACTGTAAGAAAAGCTTATCTAATGTGATGCCTGGGGGCCTGTGTAGAACTCTAATCTTTTAGCGCGGCCTCTCTAAGCTTCTGTGAACCATTCTAAAGTGTTTTTGAAACCTGTGGGCTTGAACAAGAAGCCAAACGATTCCATTTGTTTGACGGAACTTGGATTGTTTGTACAGTATTTAGCCAATTTAGAGGGGGTTAGAGTCGAGATCTAGGATTTAGATAAACAAGTCTGTGGAACACGGTATGGGAAGACTTCCTTGAGTGTTTGAAGCATGGCTGAAGGTTTTCTTGATCACATCATGTCTCAACTTGAAGATAGGTATATAATGCTTGTTTCAAGTGATTTGCATATACTGTACTTGCACATGGCACTGCACAGCTTTAAGAAATGATCATGTTGGTCACTTCCACTTCCATCACAGGAGGATACAGTTCCCATCTCTGAGCTCACTGGTGTTGCCACGAAACCGACATTTGGCAACCTTCTTTCTCGGGCGAACAGTCTCCAGGAGCAGATCCACCAGGAGATCGAAAAGCTGAAACAGGCGCAACCCGTTTGGCGCAACAGGTGTTAGCATGGGAAAAACGCTGACCACAGATGACCGCATGCTCCGTGAAACCGTACGGATGCCCTCAGCAGCATTAAACGTAATGCTGTAACCCGTGATGATCTGGATTGGGTACCAGAAAGCTGCGCACCCACCCACGATGGTGGTCGCATCTCTTGAAGAGGTTCGCCACGTGTTGGTCACGCATGATCCATTCGTATGCATGTTGCCCAGTGATTCCCCACAAAGTTTGATCGTCATGTCATGATCCGCTGATGTTGCTTGACATACGTGGTTCTCCTTTGAAATGATGACTGAATGAACATGGATCAACTTGGTCAGTGAGAGGGCGAAAGATGTTCTTTTTCATACTGCTTTGGTGCGTACCCTCATGGTCCATTGAGCGTACAGTGCCCCACTTTGGTGTGAAAAGAGGTCGATCAGGAACTGGTACGCCATGATCCTCGTTCTTCCCCCGCGAAGCGGGGGTCTCCATGGACCGTGTTTGGCGTGGTCAGGTTTGGCTTGGTCCCCAATATGCTGCTTGGTCCAAACACGTAGCGAAGGGATGAGGACAACGAGAAACTGCACATGATTCACAATCAAACTGAGAAGCCTTCAGAGCCTTGAAATGTCTCCAGCTAGGGTGCCTGTTGGAATGCCGTGCTGCTAGTTGGGGAGTTGAAGTTTGTCCGCGGCGCCAAGGACCTTCTCCACAGGAATTGTTGTCATTTCGCTGTGGCATTGTGCGCCATGTCCAAATGCGTGAAGCCAGGCTTGCTTAGAGGGAAGCGGCTTCTTCTCTCAGAGAAGGTTGCAGATGTTTTGCTGGACATCGCTGGACCATGCTGGCCATGACTCTTCAGACAGATAAACTTAAGCGGATGGTGAACTCTGGAACATTCTACGACAGACCTACTGTGGTTGCTGCGGGTGGTAATTGGTGGCTCTTGTTTCTGCACTTGAGTTTGAAGATCCTTTGTCAAAAGTTCTCAAGCTAGCACCGCGAGAAAGTTTTAGAGCCATGAAGGGATAGCCAATTTTGACGACAAGACGCGTTCATTCTTCAAAGGACTGGGAAAGACCAGTTCGAACATGTCTGAACCAACTTGCCCTTCCAATAGCTGGAAACCGGTGCCTGTCTAAGACATCCAGCTAGAAGCTTGCACCTTCCAAACATGGCGCTCTACGCCTTCCTAGCTGCTTGGTTCGTAGAATTCGGCCTTAGAATAGCATATCATTTGCACACGGACAATCTTGCACTGATGGCCCTGGCAGCTGAAGATTCCGTACAAGGCCTACTCGATGCCTTTCACATGCTCATTGAGACACCCAAGTTTTCGCCCAATAACCAGGACCCAGGTGCAAGTCACACAAAAAAGGTCAAAACATATCAAAAAGACTGAAATTTGACTCCAGGGTGGTGCAGTCTTAAACATGTTGTTTTCAATAGACGTCATTATTGAAACCCACTCCAATCGACTTCTCCCTCTTCCAATCCATGCAGGGACCCACTCATCCGGCTTTCTCCGCCATTTCGTGCCACATTTGGCGGGTGTCCGGAAACCGAGGCCAAGCGTTGCAGGTCAAAGAGGTGCCCGGTTGGGTGACGAACTTGGCCGCCGCGGGCGCCACCATCATGGCTGAAGAACACGCCCCTCGGCGTCCTTTTCGAGCTGGGGAAGCTGAAGCTCAGTCCGGACATTTCTCAAGGCGAAAGGAGATAGCAGAGAGCATACCGTTCTAAAACGACTTACTGTATTTGGCTTCTGCCAAGCAAAAGAAAAGTGTGCTCAGAAGGAGTTTGGTTTTGGCATGTTTTGGCAAGCTGATCTGGGGAGGTTGCCCTCCCAGTCGGACGATGTACGATGTGAAAGCCATAGCAGTCAAGCTTGCAGACCTCCTGCACCTTTCCTCCTGGGATCAAAGAGCAGAAGATAGCTAATGCATTATCATGAGCCTGTTACCCAAAGGAAACTATGGACAGCTTGGTATGCTCAACTGCGGGTCATCCGAACTGACCTGATCGAACCGACCAGATGGAGGTACCGCCAGGAAAACTCAAACGTGTCTCCAACAACCCGGACGAGCGGGGGAGGCGGCACCGAGGAAGTTGAGTGTGTGTTTTGGTGAAGGTGAAGGAGGACCGAAAAAGACACCGACATGCACAGTTCCTGATTTCCCTTGGGGTCCGTGAGGTCCTCAGCACCACCTGATGCGCGTGTTGGAAGGTGTAGATCGTGAGCACACGTGGAGTCTTTCAACGAACCAGGGGTGCGGTATGAGACTGTTCTCATCCCGACTCTCATAATGGGCGTCGGACGTTCATTTCCTTCCAACTCATGTGGTTTACCCATCGAGGCCATCGAAGAGGGTGTTCACTGGTTGGCCCAGAAGGTGGGAGAGTTGGGCTTGCGTGCGGTGGCAAGCGTGGACCGTGTGGGCTTCCATGCGCCTCTATCAGTACCTCTAGTGAGTACCTCTATATATATATATAGCACAATATATATATATATATATGATGCACCTCTATGAGTGCTCTACGCACACTGCTGCAAAGTTTGCATACATATTATTAGGAAGTCACTTGCACTTGTCCATTTCCCAGAGCCAGGAGTCCCAAACCATGGTAGATCCTGGTAATTACTTGTAGGTTGACAAGGGACGTTTCAGCTGTTCTGTTCTGTTCATGTTCAGTGGAACCAGGGCCCGGGTTTTGGCTGTTGCAAAAGAATTCAGACCTCCCTTGGCTTCAAGCTGACAGCCGGCTCCGAACCTTCAGTAACTATATTTGATTAATCTATGATGTGCCCAGAAAAGCCATGATGATTCCACATGCCCCGGTTTTTCAAGATGCATGCTTTCCCCTTTCAAAGGGTGTGTTTGGGATTAGTGCATTAGGGGGGCACGTTCAACATCATGCATCAAGTAAGAGGAACTACCCTCCTGCGGAGAATCATGGAAAGTTGAGCAACGTCCCTTGGTGGGCGAAAATGGTGTCTCCAGGGGGCTATGTCCTTCCATGATTGCTCGAGGAGGCTAGGTCCTAAGGTACTTCACCACTCCAGTGCCATGCCAGGCCACATCAGCAGTGGAAGGCCTCGAGCATTCCGTCCGAGACGCCATCCTGGAGGCTGCCAAAGCAGGGCGCATTGCAGAAGACCCTCGGACCGCAACCGAGGGCTGGTTGATGGGATGATGGGATTCTGCTGTTGAGGAAGGAAGTCCACACCGTCAAAGTCTTGATATTGGCAGGATGCCGCGCACCGTGTTTCAATAATGGTTCGGTGAACGGTCACTAGAGCTGGCCATCATCATTGTAGGGTGGAATTTGCCCGAATGCTATGGTTGGCCATGCGTCTATTGTTTGGCCTTGCGGGGGCTGGTGCCATGATTGAGATGCTCCTGAACGATGGTGGGACTTCTTTGAGGTTGGACTCCAAAACGCGCAAGTAAGGAGTGCGGGTTGAGTTGTTGCTTCTTCCATAAAGCGCCAATGAACCATAGAGACGGGGTCTACAAGATCAAATCATCACATCGACGCCAACGACCAACCCTCGAAGGCGTGATTCTCGCGGGTCGTATAGCCGCCATCCGCGCGTGAAGGGGTCGCGGTACTGGTGGTGTGAACGATAAAAGGACCGGAAGCTTCAGTGGTTGCCCAAGTCCCAGCGAAAGCTCGAAACTTGAACAGATGTTGTTTGGCCAGCTTTTTGGGGGCGGCGGGAATGGGGGGGGCCAATTGATTGTCCCGAGTTTTGTAGTGGAACTTGGAAAAATTATGAAGTATTGAAAACTGATGATATTAAATCGGGAGCTGTGCTGGACCAAGGAATGCTTCGAGCAGGATTGCCTGGGAAGACATAAAGTCCAGGTCAAGGCGGGAACAGTTCATTCAGGCATAAATGCTCATTGGACGTCACCAGTTACTGCAAGCCACCTTGGAAATCAAGAAAGCACTTGCTAATCGGCCGGATTTATTGCTATCAAGTCAGCAGTTTTATGAACAGTATAGGTGTGTAGGAGAGTGGAAGGGGGTGGCACACCAACCTCCTTCTTGTTTTCATACCTGCTGGTCCCAATTGGAAAAGAACCTGTGCTGGAATGCATTTCCACCAGGCTTGCCACGTCCTTGTGAGAACTGGGCATTTGAAGGAAGTTCCTGATACCAACATGTGGTGTTGCTGCGGCGCCTGAAGCCTGTGAAAACGCGCCAGAATCCAACGCGTTTTTTTCACACGCGGCTGTAACTGTGGCTGTAAAGAGATTGCTTGGAGGCCTCGTGACCTGGCAGATCAAGGTGGATAGCTCGAGCCAATAATGAAACTGGATTTTGATGCAAAATCGACCACCAATCATCCATGTCTTAGGAGGCCTCTCCCTGTCCTTGAATGGTTGGGGAGAGAACTAGGCCAGTGCGAAGTTCAAGCCACAACTTTCCCTGAAGGGAAGGCTAGGGCATGATGTGCAGGGCTGGCCTGAGCGCGTATTTTTTCTTTGTTACCTGCGTGCCCAAATAGCAGAAAAGAAGAACGATTTCCAACACGATCGAACCGGATTAAAGAGTGAATCAGGAACAATCAACATAATTTCAGCCAAAAATTAGACTACTGTAGTTGAAGCCAGAAGGCCGTTGGATGCCGTTGGATGCAAAGCCAAGAGGCCTGATCAAGGTTCGACCGATTTTTTAAAGAGAGCTCGACGTTATGCGGGTGTGGTTTTTACGTGCTCTTGTGGTGTTTTTCTTAGATTTTGTCATGTTTAGTCAGAGTTTCCATGGTTATAGTCTAGATATGTTCTTGTGCTCCTGTTTCCTAAACAAAACAACTTTTCTTGTTTAAAAAACCTCTGGATCCAACTCTACCCTTCCTTGCCCATAAGCATTCTCATTGTTTCAAAGGTAGCACTTTTTGGGCTTCTCCCTCCACATTCTTTATGAAATGGAGAGAAGATCATTATCTTGAAACACAATGTGCCCACCACGCCCAACAAAAGTTGAGAAACTTGCTTAGTAGTACTGGACCTGGATGACTGATTGGAATTGGGTTTTGCATGGCCTTCTTGACGTCCATATCCCCCCATCTATGACGAAATCTTCCAAAGAATCTTATGAAGCCCATGGAATGATCCAGCCTTAGATACACTGAGGGTCTGAATTGGCTGTGTGGCCACTACTCATTCCCAAGGCTACCTTCTCTTCACCCTAACCTTCTTGCCCACACATAGACATACATGAAGTCAGGTTGTACCAAACCTGGCATGCTCAGCGTGCTCCCAATATTCACCCAACATTGCCAAGGACATTCTCGCGATGCCACCCAAGCTCAAAACCTCATTGGACCTCACCAACACCCACCCAAAAGTAAACCAATAGATTGTGCAAAAAAATTGCCCTACCAATAGCATGAATCATAAGGAGCAACCAATGTTGTACCCAAATGGTTCTGATCTTCCATTGGGCCACCTAATCATGCACAAACCCATTTGCACCAGGCATTCCATGGACCCCATCCCCATCATTGATTGCCCAGCAAGTTTCCCTCTCACATGGTGCCCATGTGTTCTTGGAGGACAATCAAACCCAATCGAAGCACCATCCATATTGTGCTGCTGTCTAGAGCATTTGCTCAATGGCTTGTATGGCAAAACAATTTGCTCAAAGTCAGGATCCCAATCTCTCGTGCCCAGGTGTTGCATCTACGCAACCGCCTTTGCACGCATACAGCCACAAGCCCATTGCCAGCTGTTTGATGCACCCAATGCTTCATCTCATCTCATCTCATCTCATTTCATCCACATTGGAAGTTCCATTTTCCTATGCTCTCTAGCTATATGCCCATCTCTCTCTTTCATTGGATATCTTAAGCCATCAAATCACGAAAGCTAGCCTTAGCTAGCTGGAGTTGCTCTTGCTTTAGCAAGTTAAGTGACGGGGTGGACGCACCTCAGAAACCTCAAATAATTAATTAAATCAATCTTATGGACCCCCCCCCCCCGGTTCGACTCCCCCCTGCGCGCGGTGAGCGGGACCACCAAGCAGCTGCAGCACACCAAGCATCTGCAGCGCCCAGCGCAGCAGCGGCAGCAGCAGCAGCAGCACCAGCAGCAGCAGCAGACCACCCAGCGGCGGCAGCAGCAGCAGCAGCATACCCAACGCCGCGGCAGCAGCAGCCGCAGCAGACCACCCAGCGCCAGCAGCAGCAGCAGCAGACGACCCGGCGCCTGCAGAGCACCCAGCGCAGCAGCGCCCAGCGCAGCAGCGGCAGCAGCAGCACCAGCAGCAGACCACCGGAAGCCCGGCTAGCTTTCGTTCACCCCCTCTGGCCTCAAGTCAAGACAATCTTCCACACTCCATCATTGAGACCATACAGTATAGGTATCCACCCTCACCACATAGAGCCTACAGTATATACAAGTGCTTGCAGGAGCAGACAGTTGTGTCTTCAAACAGACGAGAGGAATATAAGAAGTTGTGGTGGAATTGCTACTCTTACACAGGTAGCTATAATGAAATCAATAATCTTGACTATCTCTAGCACCTGGGCCACTTCCAGCTCGTGGAATTGACAATGAGTCCTCAATCTCCAGCAAGTGGGGCCTGGGCCTGGGCTTCTCTAGGGGGGGGG